GGGGTCCGCGAGGGGGGGCGGGAGGGGGAGGGGGAGAGGGCGGCCAAGGAAGTCGGCGAAGGACAAGGGGGACGGGGACGGGGGGGACGATCAGACCGCCAAGCACATGCAGATCCTGAAGAAGCTGCTCAACGGCCCCGGGGGCGCCGCGGGGGGCAAGATGTTCAAGGTGAAGGGGTCGATCGGGTGGTGTTGTTTTAGTCAGCGGGTGGTTACGTGATGGTTGGGAGAGAGTTTTTGTTTTGTTTTGTTGCTGTCGTTGCCGACTGCTGTTTTATTGTTGTACATGCATTGGAACAGCAAACAGGAAGGGGCTCGTGAAAGGTACCATATTTTCTCCCTTCGTGCAAAATAAATTCCCAGCGAACCAATGCTACCCCCCCTCTTGGCGCTTCGCGCTCGGTGATATGCTAGCCTTGTCTGGTAGTAGCCCGGCATGTTCCGTCCCGGCCTTGCAGGGATGCGAGGTCAATGGTCTAACGACTGACCCCCCCGCAACAATCTTAACACCAAAACAACATTATTGCGACCAGGAGAAGAGGAGAAAGGGTGCCTGGCCCGGCTCCGACAAGGAGATGGAGGGCAACGGCCCCTTCCCCGGAGGGAAAGGAAGCAACGGCGATGCTGGCGCCGCCACCTCTACCCGGGGAGGGTTCGACAAAGTAGGGGGCCGGGGAGGAGGGGGAGGGCACGATGCGGCCCCCGGCGAAGCGGTCGGTATCGGGGGAATGCCGCTCAACTACGGCTACCCGCTGGGGTATCCGGTGGGGGCTGCCGGCGGTGCCAGGGGTGGCTACCCGATGGGGGGAGGGTTTGGAGGCATTCCGGACTTCTCGTCGTTTCAGCATGTGAGTGCTCGGCGGGAGTTGGTGGTGCGGGTTGGTTTGGGAGCGGCGGGAGGGGTTCGGGAGGGGTGCAAAGAGAGGGAGGGAGGGAGGGAGGGAGGGAGGGAGGGAGAGAGAGAGAAAGAGACAGACAGACAGACAGATAGAGAAGACTGAGGGAGGTGGGGGGGAGGGAAAGGAGGGAGAGAGAGAGGGGGGCGGGGGGGAGAGAGAAATGAGAG